GATGGCCTAATTTTTTGCTCTATAATCAGAAGCTTCTGGAGATCGGAATGTTTTAGTGATTTTCAAATCTTAGAAATGCTTTTTTTGTTTTTGGTAAATGATTTTTTTGTCATGCATATCATTTTTTTTGGTTTACATATAAGCCTCTCCGCGAAAATACATTTTCATAAATCGACTGAGTTTAGGTTAAATTAAGAAATATTTGTTTCTAGGTTTGGTAGTGTAAAGTTGTTAAAGTTTTGTTCCTTATTTTTCTGTCATTTGAAAAGTCTTTTGGTTCTTAAATCATTTTATGCTAATTAGGTCTTTTTAAGGCCAAATATCAAATAATTTTAAGCAACGAAAAAATTAACACAATTTGGAAAACTTTACTACTAAATACAAAAATAAAAAGGAAAACATAATTAATTTTTGCTATTTCATTTGAATCTATTATATATTTAAATGCGGGCTTCACTATCTCGCCATGTTTAAGCTTTGTCAACGTATTATTTTTGCATGTTTAAGCTATATCGTATATTGCAATGGTTAAGGTTTTTTTTTCGATTTTCCAATATGATTTTAGTGGTTATTTTACCGAGTTTAAAATAAGCAGCCCAATATCGAATTAGTGGTTGCCAATTTTGCCTCCAATTTTGAATGCCCGAATCATTTTAATTTAACGAGATAAGACGATTTTTGAGATTTTTTCAAAAATTTTCAGAAATTTCAAATAACAAAATAATTTACAAAACTTCAAGTTCCCAACCCTGTAGTTGGGTGCTGTCAGAGTACTCTAAGGAGTTACAAATCTTGCCTCCAAGTATGACTGTTCAAATCCTTGTAGTTTTTGTGATGTGACGTTTTTTGTGAGTTTTTCAAAAAATTTTCAGAAAACTTATATTAATTTTTTTTTCGTAAAATTTGATATTCCCAACCCTGTAGTTGGGTCCTTTCAGAGTAATTTCAAAGATTGCGAATCTTGCCTCAAAATATGACGGCTCAATTCTTTGTAGTTTTCGAGATATGACGTTTTTTGTGATTTTTTCAAAAATTTTCAAAAAAACTTAAATTATTTTTAGTTTTTAAAAATCTGAAATTCCCAACCCTGTAGTTAGGTCCTGTCAGAGTACTCTCAAAAATTGCAAATCTTGCCTCAAGGTATGACTGCTCAATTCTTTGTAGTTTTCGAGATATGACGTTTTTTGTGATTTTTTCAAAAATTTTCAGAAAACTTCAGAAAGTTTAACTAAATTATTTTTCAAAATTTGAAATTTCCAGCGCTATAATTCGGTGTTGTCAGGGTACTCTAAAAAATTGCAAATCTTGATACATGCGACTGCTAAACGCGAGTGCTCAAATGCTTTTAGTTTCCGAGATGTGACGTTTTTTGATTTTTTCAAAATTTCTCAAAGAACTTATCTACAAAGAAATTCAAAAAGTTTGAAACTACTAAATTGATGAAGATACAATTTTATTGTCAGCGTACATCCAGGCGTCTCAAATCTTGCCTCTTAATTTGAATGCTCAAATCCTTTTAGTTTCCGAGACAAGATGTTTTTTTTTTTTTTCAATTTTTTTTTTCGGGAAACAGGTTTAAAAAAATTCCTAACCCTATAGTAGGGTGCTCTCAGGGACTCTCAGTGATTGCAAATCTGGCCTCCAAATTTCTCCAGAGGCCCATTAAATTTTCAAGATGACGCTTTTAAAATGGTGCAGTCAGAGTACACTAAAAATTTGCAGATGTTGTTTCCAATATATGCGGTTTTTCGAAGCACCGGAGGTGCGTTAAACGCTAGTTTTATTTAAATAAATCGTTAACTTGCTCAGATAAATTGATCAGCAATCGGCTAAAGCCATTTGAATTTGGCAACTTTTAAGTTTTGTTGTTACCTTGAAATATTTTTTTTCTATCAAAGTTTATTAAAGGTATATTAGTCTTTGCTGATTTTCTTATGCTGAGTAAGAAGGTTTTTATTTATTCAGGTTTTTTATATAGCCCTTTTCGTTACCCTTGGCCTCTGATTCTACTTGCGAGAGCAGGTGAATAGTAATCAGGATCTAGACTTTTTTTCCCAGAAAACAACGTTAACCTTTTCTGCCGACATTCTGACATGCTCAATTTTTTTGGAATTTTAAATAAAACTATTTCATAGTTCACGTGGAGCAATTCTTTATTCACATTTATTAAAGTTGATTTTTTTCTGGATATGTGTTTTGCGTCCTAATTTCTGTCGTCTGATTTTCCATTTTTTTTCAAATGCTGTTTATACTATCTTGCGGGTCTTCCAAGTGGTTCTTTTTCAGTTCCAGAGTTTTTTATTGTTTAGTTCGAACAATTTATACTATAAGTGAAAGTTTCTCAGTAGTTTGTAAATTTATCAGCTCTGTTTTCTTTTATAAATTTTAACCTTAAAAAGAAGTTTTTCGGTTAAATGGGTTCGTTTATTGTTATATCGGTTTAGTCAAATTATGTTGCACAGTTTTAAGTGCGAATGGAATGGATTTCAATCCCTTTTCTTGTTTCAGGAGGAATGACTCGTAAAAATTTAATTTGAAAAATTTTTATAGCTGGAAGTTTTTTAATGTCTAGTTTCGTTTTCGGCTTAACGAGGGTTGGTCCATCTTTTTTCACTTTAGTTGACGCTTGGTCTTTGGGTCTCAATGATTGTTCCGGCTGAATATGAACATCGTCGGATACAGTGTTGTGAAGTTTGTAGAGGGAGTTTTTTTTGGAATTGCAAGTTATTTTTCAGCCTATTTTTTTTTCGAAAAAGGAGATTTTTTTTTCAAGATTTTGTAATGCAGTGTTTTAATTGTATTGCAAGTGTCGCGAAACTCCCGTTCGCCTCTGTGTTAAAATTTAGCTTTGGTGTTTCCAGCAGTATTTTGAGACCCAAACGAGTTTAGATTTTTTTTCCAACCGAAGTTTTTGGGTTCGTTTTCAACCCCACTAAACCAACGATATACATTAAAGCTTAAAAGCAGTCGAGACAAATTTGGTTTGACTTGTAACTGGATTTCGCTTAAAAGTTAAATCTGTAAGCGTTACTCTGTATTTACATCCACAATTTTTTGTGTTATACTAAGAGTTAGTTTTTTTCCAACGGAAGTCGAAGTTTTTGGGTTCGTTTTCAGCTTCATTATATCAACGATATACGTGCAACTAAAATAACATATTGGGGCGGGTTGCAAAGTATTGCTTTTGGGTTAGCTATAAGACGATAACTCTTAATTTCAAAACTTGAGTAATATCTGGTGTTGGAGTTATCGCTTTGAATAATGTTTTGAATCATCACGAGTTATTGCAAGATTCAATGAATGGATTTTTAAAAGGAAGCTGGTTAAATTTTTTCCTAATCAGAATAATTATTTTTAAACTTATTACCCTTGCGATAAGCAAGTGTATTGCACTCGGGCTCTAGACTTTTCCCCGTAAATAACCATTTTCGCAGGACTCTCCCGGTGCACGTAGCCTGGAGGTAACCAATACGCTTTGGACGCCAAAGGTCTTCGGTTCGGATATGACCAGGATCTGTGTTTTTTTTTCAAACGGGAAATAGTCTGTTTCAAATATAATTAATTGTCAATTATTTGTCTACTTATTTTTTTGTCGGCTTAATTACCGCATCTTGTAATCCTTTTTGTGCTCGCGTTTTTCTTTAATGTAACTTTTAGTGTTTGATGTTACCTTCTTTGACTTCGTATTTTCTTCTTTGGTTTTTGTTCCGACTTTCGATACGAAAGTAACGGAATATTTGTGCTCGGGTGGGTTTTTTTTCTTCAGACAAATTTCGACTTTTTAACTAGCCATTTTTGACGGATTTTTTTAAATATCATTCGAAAGGTATTGTTGTCTTGAGCTCAAATTTGAAAAGATATTTCACCTGTGATCATTTTTCGTAAAGTTATGAGGGTTTAAACATTGCCATTTTGGCCAATTTGGGACAATTAACGCGCGATATATTTCGCGCTATTAACGCGTAAGCGGAGAGTTAATCCGTCTTAGAAATCGTTCCAAATTGGTTTAACGAAGCTTATTTACCATAATTGATTTGTTACAAGTAGCGAAATCTATCTTTTAGTACTTTACATCGCGTGTGGGGGGATGATTTTTATAAAAAAAAATTTCAAATTTTTGAAGAAAAAAGTTTCATTTTTTTTTATTACTTTTTAATTTTTTAATAATTTTACTGCTCCATAAACCTTAATGGGCAGTCGGAACATTCAGGGCTTCGCCCTGATACGAGCAGTCTTGTTTTATTTTGCTTATAAACTTTGATCGGCCTCATTTATTTCCGCCTGTTTTTATCGGCTTAGTGATCTAATTTTGGATCGTTTCAAGAGAAGCACAAATTTTAGGCTCCTCTCCGCTTTTTTATAAGTTGGTTGTATTTTAACTACTCGGTGTTGAAATTTCCTTTTTTCGGCTTAATAGTTTTTGGCTTGTTTTATATCGGCTTAGTAGTCTCTTTTTGCGTCATTTGATGCGCAAAAAATTTTTGTGTGCCTATGTGTTTTATGAGGTCTAGGTGGACGTAAAATATTTTATTAGTTCTCTGTTAAAATAGTTTGAGTTTATTAGTTTGAAATTTGAATTTCGCAAATATCTTTTCATTTTGATCAATCTAGTTGTATCGCAAATAGTGCGAACCTCAGGTTCGACTCTGTGTGAAAGACTTACTTGTAATGCATCTTGACCAGGTGGCTATGAAAAGGTACCGCAATTGATTTTTCATCTGTAGTTAACCATTTGTTTTGGTAATATCTTGTAATATTTGGTTCACAACTCTGAGTTCTGTCCATTTTCCGCGTAGGAATTGTTCATGCCAGCCTGGCCTCTTACTGTTGTTGGTTTTATCTCCGCAACGATTTGTTTGTTTCTCCGCAACGATCTGCGGTCCCTGGATATTTTTGATCAAAAGTATGATGCATCAAATTTTAGAGTGACTTTTTGGCGTAGCGTGTCTGCAGGTTTTTTACCCTTCTTGGCTCCCCTAATATTTTTGTATCGGTTTTTCAGAGTCTGTATGATGCGCATTGCACGTTCAAAACAACAGTGAAAGAAAGTTCCCTGCAATTCCCGAGGGCAACCATTTGAGTTAGTGTGAGTGCATATAAATAAAAACTGCAGTTGGACTATTCTGCATAAATTTGTGTGATTTAATTTTTGACGATTTGCAACATAATTTTTTTTTTCAAATGCAGTTGAAGATTTCATTCCATCAACATTTTCATTTAGAAATTGATTGGCTCTCTATTTGCAGTAGAAAAACAGTGAAACTAGCTCTGAAGGGGAACGAGAATGACTGGGAGACAGGGCGGCAGTAGCAGTCGGGGTGAGATGAAGAAGGTGAATGTGGATCTGCTGTCCCTCAGCTACGGCACTCTAGTGTTCCAACTCATCAGGGACTACGAGAACGACGCTGAGGTTAGGAGAGACTGTTGTAGTCGTTGGCATAGCATCGCTTTCATACGAAGCATTTTGAAGTATTATTGAATTACTGATTGTTTCTAATTTACGACTCTTTTACGTCTCTTGTTATTTTTTTGTTTTTAGGCTTACCGCGAGTCAGCTTTTCTATAAGACTTCATGTCTTTCATGCTTCTGGTATACCAGAACGAGGAAATATTGGAAGCAGCAATATTTTAATACATATTAGCTGCGCAAGTCACATTAACATTTTTTTTTCAATAAATAATCGCTATTACTTAAAAACTGGCAAATCAGTAATACGTACTGGATGATATTGTATGTGCTACAATAAAACGGTTTCTTTTTACCAGGTGAATACGCAGCTGGAGAAGATAGGTATCAATATTGGCACTCGACTTATTGAAGACTTCCTGTCCCGCTCACAGATGCCTAGATGTAAAGCATTCCAAGAGTCAGTGGAAGTCATCTGCAAGAGTGCCTTTAAACAGTACTTCGGAATATCCTCCGTAGAGGTCAGTCTTCTACTAGTCATCTGAGAAAAATTGCAAATTCTGGAGTTTTGATGCATTCTTGGCTGTTTCAACAATTACACAAGCGATGTCTGCATTTAAAATGCGCACTGTAAATGGAGATTTGTTGGTTGTTAATTTATGTTTGTTGGTTGTTAATATAACCAACACCGATTTTCGGACTACCGTTTTTTGCTTTTTTCTTTTTGTGCGGCTTGAACGACTTGGCTCATATTGAATCAGCTCAGAGGTCTCATTTTGAGAGATTTGATGATCAAAATATATTTTCATTGCTTTTTTTTTCGGCTCAACATTTGTCTGCTCCATAACTGTCGGCTTTGTTACCGTTTTTTAAATTTTTAAGAGTCAGAAGTATTTCAGACTCTTATATAGGTCGCGTTGATTTTTTTTGTTTTCTTTTCAGGAAAAGTCTTAAAATTTGTTCAGGCTCAAATTCACTTTTTCGCAGTTTGAATTTTATTTTTTTTGAAGTTCAGCTTAATTTCTTTATTAAAAGGAAGTTAAACTCCACTGTCGAAAAGCAAAAATGAATAATTCACGAAAAACGTGATCGACTTCTAATTTCGAAAGTGGAATTTAATTATCAGATTTCCCAGCGAAATAAAAAATTTACCTTTTAATCCAGTCTTCTCAAATTGTGTTAATTTTATCGAAAAAGTACCAATCATAAGTTATTCTAGAAATTCGAAGAGCTTCATGGACATCTATTTTTTTTTCTTTGAAATGCGAAATTTGAGATTTTTTCAAAAATTAAGTCGGTATTTTTTTCACTTTAATTGCGTTCATTGACTCTTTTCTAATTGTCTGTGGGCTATGTTTTCGATGCGAAATGAAATTTCATTAGTGTTACATGGAGTTTTTGTGAAAAGAATTTAATTTAGCACAAAGTTTTGAAAATTATATGTATTATTTTGATATTTTTGAGACGCTTTTGAGTTTTTTGCACTTCTCGCAGAAATTTTACTTTCCCTCAAACTACCTAACTGATTTTTTTTAAAAGTGTTACACAAAACCTGGCTACTCTCTATGTGCCTCTCTACAAAAACTGGCTACTCTCTATTCTGATAGTATCTTTGTACCTTGCCCCACTTTCTACGGCCTTTCCGTGGGGGAGTTTTGACCAATAATTAAAAAAATTTTCTTGTCATTTTCTCAAAACTAACGTGCCAAATCCAAGGCTGAGGGATTAATAGAAATAACATGTTATAGTACTTTTGCCTGCATAAGCAGCTACGTTATGAGCATGCGTTATCAAATTGGTATATTGACTTTTTTCAGTTTTACAACTTGTTAAATAATTCTCAGTTGAGTCATTAGATAGCTTGGCTCATAATAAATTCGCATTTTTGGGTTATCCGCCACACTTGGTCTAGAGGTAACTACTACGCCTGGGACTGCAATTTTTTTCAGTTTTGGATCTGACCAGGACCGGTTTTCAAAGGGGAGGTTTTCCGTTTCAAAAAATGTCGGCTTAGTCGCCTTAACTTGGATATTTGTTGTGCTGCTAATGCTTTTCTGTATAATTGAAAGTCTTTTGGATTTATTTTTTCAATTGGTAATTGATTAAATGTGATTTTTATTTTCGCTTAAAAGCTTTATTTGGCCTCACTTCGTTTTATTTTTTATGGGCATAGTGACCTATTTTTGCGTCCTTTCAAGGGAAAAATGGTTTTAAAATTTTTTTTATAGTTCGGGATGGGCCTGGTAAAATTTAGAATTCATGGCAACAGTTTGTTTTTCAGTAGTTGTGATTTTGTTGATTGAGTGGCATTCATTTAGTTTTTCTGCTAGCTTGCAATGCTATGTGTTATCGCAAGTGATCCGAAGCTGTTTCACCTCTGTGTTGAATTATTTTGAAATACTGATTCTATCTTATTGCAAAGTTTCTTATTTCGCAGTTTCTTACAATCAATTTTTACGCCATAAAACTGGCATATGTTCTTGTATCGCAAGTGGTGCGAAGCTCTATTCGCCTGCGTTAAAATATGTATTTTAAAAATCTCGATTTGAACTCATATCGTTGAGTTTATTTTTTTTTGACTTTTAGGAGTCCTTGATAAAGATCCATAAGTTTCTACAATTTTATGCTGTAATACTAGGCAACCAACTGGAACTCAGCAATGACCGAGTGTAGTCTAATACTGAAAGAGAACCCTCTGGCTGATTTTGTGGAGTTACCAGAGAAGCACCAGGGTCTATTCTACTCAAACATCCTCTGTGGAGTGATCAAGGGTGCTCTTACTGCGGTCCATCAAGACGTACAGTGCTCATTCGTACAAGATGTCCTATTAGGCAAGTGTTTTTTGAAAAATGCTACGAAATATTTTCTCTATTCAGCTGTTTTTAATTAAGCTTCCGATTCAATCTTCCGATTGAGTTTTCAGCGGTAACTGCTCTGTTAACAAGATATAAATGTTTAGGTAATCCAACGACGGAGATTAAGTTGAAGTTCCTGGGTATCATCAAGGACACAATTCCCGCTGGAGAAGACGACTAAATGCAACCTCTTTTCATCAATGGCGGGTGCAGCTGACCGAATATTAATGTTCAACTAATTATAATTTTCGGCGCTTTCCATTTGCTTATACTTAAAGAATTTTTTATTCCGGTTGTCATTCAATTTTTTTTTGTCGAAATTCAATGTGGATGTTATGATTTTGTTGTTTTCTTGCTGATTCAAACGATTTAATTGCAATAATGTTTTTGTTTTAATAGACCAATTTTTCGGCTTTTTCCTGGGCTCAAATTCAATTAGAATATTTATTTATCTCCTTAACTTTGAAAGCTTATAATCCAGGCTATAAATGAATCTTTATCTGTGTACTATATATATGATGAATTTCTTTACAAACTAGAACTCTTTTCTGTTATTGAGATTGATCAATTTTTAAGGATGACCAAATTTCAGCTCACTGGTCATTAAGTTCATTGTTGACCTTAACTTTTCGTATTCACTTATCTCTTTCTTGACTTTATCTGTTCATTGGTCGTAATTTTCAGTATATTCGTACATTAGAAAAAGCGAATCGCATTATCTTTTCGTTGCAATGTGGGCATGTGTCGCTGGGTTGTTCGCTCCTTGTGTTGTGTTGTCGCCCCCGCCCGATTGAGGCACTCGTCGCCGCCCCGCCAGTTCCTTGTGTGCTTCCAGGAATTGTAACGTCATTAGGGTCCGAAGGAACGTGACAGTCCACAACCACGTAGAGACCCTGAAATTTTTCAAATGAATGTTTTCACATAATTCGTTTATGGATGAAGAACATATAAACTCTTCAAGACTTTTAGCTTTTAAGTGAGCTAAATTGTACAGGAAAAAGTTTTCTCGCAATTTAGGGGCACTTATTTCAAACAATTTTGGTATTATTTGCCTCATAGTGCACCAACTTATTCACTAGTGATTAAGTTGATGATAATCTTCCGGATTTCAAAGATGTCTCACAATACTTGTTGCAATGCAAATGTAGAGTATAGAATGTAGAGTATAGATGCATATAAAACTGAACCAAAATGTAACAACAATAAGCACAGTTGGCCGAGTGGCCTAAGCTAACGCCGATTATACAGGTTAACAGTTGACGTAGGTTCGAGTCCCCCACCTGCCCATGTATTAGTATACTAAAAACGGGGGTTACATCCTATTTTAACTGTTTTTTGGTTCTAATTCGGTTCAGCCTTGATTAAGGTTGACCGCCAAAAAGAGCAATTTGTCTCAAGGACATTACCGACCGGTTCTTGTGGCTAGCTTGCGCCGTTTTGTACAAAAAACGGACAGATGCTAAAAATGTTATATGATGTTCAGATCAATAGAAATAATGCCGAAATTAATTTATTGACCGAGTTATTTGCCGAGAAATATCTCTTATTAATTTAACGAATTTGGATCAGTTTTGGAGATTAGCGAGCATATTTTTGGCGCCCCACAAGGGACACGAGCGTTTGTTTTTGTTCCGCCTCTCGTTCTTTTGAAATACGCTGAGAATATCGCAGCGACGAAAAACACGGAGAATCTCGCAGTAAATTCACAGCAGGATTTCCGAGAGCAGCAGACATTTGTTTGCAAGAACATCAGAGGCCGCTGCAGCGTGACCAACTGCAGAGACATCTAAGCACAGATGCACTAGAGTTCGATTCCTTTCCCGACAACTTCATCTTCGTGGTGACCATTCCTTTTCCGTAGTGCACACAACAGAACAATTTCCTGTAACCATACAACCCACAAGACTGATTGATGAGTAGCAGATCATGTGTTGCAGATTACTGAGGTGCAGATAAGATTGAGGCCTACCGAGAAATTCAAGTGTCGATTGAGTTGTCAAGCGCAGACCAGCTACAGACGTTTTGTGGAAGTGATAGAAGCAATCATGGAACAACTTCTCTGCGTCTGGCCGATGGTTTGACAACCCGAAACCGGTGTCGCCAGTCTCCAATTAAAACTGTAAGACTCGACTAGTTTAAGACTCTCATATTGTGCTATAAAATTTTATACGCTGTCATACATCTTGAAAAATTTTTCCGCAAGCTAGCCCCCGGTAATTTTTCTCAATACCCAAAAATTTTGGACAGTTCCGTTGAACTGAAATATCTTAGTCGGTACATAGACAAACTGACTTGACATTTTTTCTCGATACCAAAAATTTTTGGATATATGTGAACGGAATATTAATCAGTGAAATCGGAACATAGACAAGAGGTACTGGACTAGTTTTTTGGGTTGGTTTATGACTCGAACCTGCTGACCAAAATTTTCTGAAAAATTTTGTATAAAAAGTAAAAAAATTGCCAAAAAATCCTCAAAACGTCTCCAGAACTCTGCGAAACTGTGCTGTAAGATGACACCAACCTTATATTAAGTGGTCTGGTAGCGAAATATCAGGCAAATTAAGTTGAGTTTTTTCATCCTCAGGTTTCTTCCGCGTGTGTTGTTGGAACTTAACCAATTTGCCTGATCCCCCACCCACCATTGGTGAAACTGAAAGCCAGTTCGCTTCGAGTAAAACAAAGCCGTTTCAGCCCGTCATATTATTGACTTCGTTGCGTGACAGTAAAGTTAAGTGGTCAGGTACGGTGATATTAAGTGAGTTAAGTTGAATTCTTTCATCCTCAGGTTTACTCCGTGTGTGTTGTTGGAGTTCAACCGACCTACTTAATTTTCCAACCCCATTGGTACTTAAGCGTAACGAAGCCGTCGCATAGGTCCCCTAAGTGTATGGTATTCATTCTAGGAGCTAGTTCTTTGGATCACGCGCTCCGAAAACTTCCCGCTCCGTCCCAGAAGCGCGTCAAAGATACTTGCTTTACGAAGCCAGGTTTAAGTTTGAACTTTAACGCTAGGGACTCTCAGAAAACAATACAGTACTACCTTCATCACTACTTGTCGCACCGTAACGACCTCGTAATTTGGCACGACGCCATAAATAACTCGATAAGTAGGCACCGCAGCAACAATAACCGCAAGCTGAGTAGTGAGCAACTTGTCAATTTGTTATTAAGGTATAGGACAAACATTTGTGCGATCGTATACTGTAGACGCAACGGAACCGAGGATATAGAGGAAAGTTTAGGTTCAACAGGTATTCTCATTCTCAACGTCGTTAAAGACTTTATCTCTAAGCGTAAGGCTAAGGACCAGGTACTAATTGAGAAGTACAAAGAGCTTCACCAGCCTCCTTCCCTTGAGTTAAAGACTCTCCTCCTTCTAAGGCGTTATAGCGCTAATCTTAACATCCTTAAGACACGTAAGAAGCGAAACCGCTTACCCCTCAAAGCTCGGAAAGCTATAAGAAATAGGCTTCAGGTAGAAGCTTTGAGACGTCAAGTTCCCCCGTCTTGTAAGCTAATGTTGATTTACTAATGCAAATTTGATTACATACCAAAACAGTATCTCATTTTATTGATTGTTTTCTATAAGTGAGCATCCGTAGAATATTGTCAATTTGTGAAAAACATGGACGAAAAATTCCAAAGTAAGATACGCAAGTTATTCGAAACCCGTCTAAATCTAGAAAATGAGCTGCTTAAAGGTCACTCATTATTACTTGAGTACATTGAGAATAATAGTCGCACTACAAAAATTGATAATGCTGTTTACAAATGTAAAATTGCGTTGGAAAAAGCTGTCGACGTCAATGAGCAATTAATTAGGTTAGCGGGAAAAACAGAAAATCCTGAAAAAATTATTGCTCAGCAAGACCTTTGGCTTAAGAAAGTAACCGAAATGAACGATAAAGTAATGCACGAAGCTCAGAGTTACAAGATGAGCCTTGAACCTTCGTCATTTCCAGCAGCCGGCATTACAGGGAGCAAGGGATCTTTACAACAAACTAGGTCTGAGACATCCTCACACTCGCACAAAACAAGTGATTCAGCAGCACGAGTATCTGAAAACAGGTCTAAGGTCTCTAATAAGTCTAAGGATAGTAGAAAGCTTGACTCACATAAGTCTGATAAATCTGCTTCCACTCGTCATACGTCGACTGTTCGCACTATGTCATCAAGTGAGAAACGGCATGAGTTAGCTTTAGTAAAACGACGCCATGAGGAGCTGGAAAGGCAGTATCAAGTATCTTTAAGACTTAAAGAGCAAGAGAACCGTCTTAAGTTTGAACAAAGTCAGCTGGAACTAGAGCAATTGGCTGAAAATCATAAAAAGCAACTAATTGAAATGGAATTGAAAGCGTTTGAACTTGAGGACAGTTCATCTGAGGTTAGCGAGAAGGTAGCGGAAAGTAACTTAACAGGAGTAAGTCAACCTATTTCAAAGGTAGCAACCGATCGAACTAATGATTGGGTAGACTCTGTTAGTTCACAAGCACCTCCCGACGTTGCTAGTGCGCCAGGTTTGCAGGCCTTCACTCATGTACCCGTTTCGTCAGGACCGACGACTTCCGCCCTCCTTGCTCATGCAATTCACACCAGTAATAGTCATAACCATGAGCACACAGCATTGAGTGACCCTGGAATCCATAGTTATGGACATCGGGCTATGCCTCAATTTGGCAGTGCAAGCCGTTTGCCATTGCAAGCTTCTGTTTCATTCCCAGCCTCTGTTCCATTCCCAGTTAACAATATGCATTCTAGTGCACACGTGCTACCACCACCGTCTGCTGTTCCTTTACAGACCATGAGTTCAAACATAACTAATGGTAGTTTTGCCATCGCGCAACCGGAATCATTACCTGTCCCAATGTTACCGGCCCAACCCGGTTCTGGTTTTGTTTCTTTGTCGCCTGCATTTGCTGGCGGTGGCTTCTCATCTTCTGGAGTAAACCCAACGCCGGTTTTCTTTTCGGCACCTAATTGCCATGCAGCGCCAGTCCAGACGCAACATAATCTTCCCTTTGTTCCGCATACTGTGTCACCTAGTATCAACGATTACTACACAAGTGATGCAAACTTATGGCGATTGGCAGCTACAACTCCAATCGTCACGCCTGCTCAGTGTTGTAATGCTGGAAACATTTTTTCTAATGTGACAACTATTGTCCCATCGTGTAACACCGCCTCTCCGTATACTAGTGGTGGGACTGTGTATTTTAATACTCCCCCAGTTCATCCACAACATGTTCCGCATTTTGTCAATCAAACTAATACTGGTTATCAGCCAGTCAACGAGGACTACGCACCGTCTCCCGCTTATCCGAACCAAGGTTGTTCATCGGATCGACCTCTCTCCGCTCGTGAATTGGTGGAATTATTGATGCATAGCCGCAAAGATCATCTTCCTGAATGGAAGTTAGCCCAGTTTGACGGCAACCCGTTAAACTGGCACGAATGGTTTGGTCAGTTTAAGTCCACCGTTGATTCCGCTGTTCTCACCGATGATACGAAATTGACATACTTAAAAACGCTCGTCACAGGCAAAGCAAAAACCGCAATTGCGGAGTTTAGTTATAGTGGCGTTATGTACAAGGATGCACTGGCCACCTTGCAACGGAAGTTTGGGCAACCACATGCCATTGTTGGTGCGCATCTTGATAAGCTGAATACTTTTCCTCCACTTAAGATGCACAATTCGGAAAATGTCATTAGTTTCTCCTCTGCCATATCTGGCCTCGTAGCAGTTTTCAAATCATTGTCTTTCAACGATGATCTAAAGAGTGTTAACCTGTTAAACCAAGCTGTTAGTAAACTTCCGCCTAACCTCAAGGAGGCTTGGTCGATGCATACTGTTAGACATAATTGGCAGCGACCAACGCTCTTAGACTTTAAC